GACGGCGTGAGGTTGCTGTTCACGTCGCTACTTTTCGTCAAATCGTTGACGTCCGTAGCGCCTGCTGCTATGCTGCGAATGAGAAGATCAAGTTTTTGGTTGAGCTCATTGCGAAGATTCTGAATGACTTCAATAGAGCCAGCATCAACTTGCAAACTCGCACGCGGAGATTCAGGAGATCTGAAATTGGCATGTTCGTTTTTTGTCGAAAAATGTTGAGGTGGAAAAAGCCAAACAAACTTCAAGACGCTTTTTGGTGTTTTAGGGCAGGGCGGGCTCATCATAATTCCATTGATTGGAAAGCTGAAAGCGGTATCAGTCTTTCGTAGCAGCGAATGCGTTCGTGTGTCCGATCCTCGCCGAGTTCCCAACAATTTCATCCTATCGGCTGAGCAGATGCCACCGGTAGCTTCAGAACAGCGTCTGCGTTTTTCTTTTCGTTCTCGATCTGAAAACTCCATATTGAGTATTGAAATCTGTTAGAGACGCCGTTGCCTACCGATAGGAGATTCCTGTAGTATTTCAGGTAATTGTGAATTAGCAGGCGGAGTGAAAAGGAGCGACACTGTGTCTTCTCTAAAATAAATAAGGCAGAATTAGTAAAAACTTCAGCAACTGTAATCCGCCAAACTTACTTTTCGTCCTCCTCACTACTGGTTAGCTCGAGTTCTTCAGCGACGGAAGAGCGATTTCTAGGAATGCGATAACTACCCCCAAATACACGACTTCTAAATGAAGACGAGGCTATCTCCACTAAGCCCTGTTGTGGTACAGAGCTTTCTACAGCATGCAACTCACCTCGTACTGCTCATAGTTCTCATTATATCTCGTTTGACAGCATCGATATGGGAGGAACTTCGAACGATTTCTCGACGACGATCATCTCTTAGCTCATACCTAGTATAGTTGGTTATTACTTATCTAAACTATTTCCACAACTTTTGAGCTAATTACGAGTCTTTGGATGCACTGAATTAGAACATGCCTTTTACCGACTGGAAAATTGGAGGAAAATACACTACCTCAAACTACTGATATCCTGTTTGATTTCCAACAGATCATCCTCGTTCACTCCATCCATTTTCATATCCTTCTTCGTCTGGTGAATGAATCTGATAATTAACAGACATGATGCTATACTACGCGTTGTAGAACGTTTTATCAATGATTGCTCAATTTTGCCGGTAAAATTCCAAATTATGTGATACATTTGCTCATTACGTTCGGCTCAATAAATCACAATGTCGTTCATTCAGGCACTGTCATGACTATTCATTCATCATTCATTCACTCACTCGTTCAGTCATGATCTATCCATTAATTCACCTATTCATTCATCAAACCACCAGTTACTCTGCTTCTTGAGATTAAAATTTCACTAGGAAGTGTCATAACATTTACCTTGAAACGAGTCGTTGGATGATATCCGCATACGTCAGAGGTTTTTTGCCTTCATCATTGGGGTTATTTTCCATCTCATTCCGCTTACGGGAGTAACCTGGTCGCTGAAAAGAACGCATAGTCTGTAAACGGAACATATGTCACTTTTAAGTCTTACCCTGATTGTTGCTCGAGTTCTACTTTTCGTGTAAGTGTATTTTCCAAGTATACATCGACATGTATTGACAACGGCAAAGAAAAAGTAGTACATAGCCTTAACAGATGTTCTTCCAGCACGAAGAAATATATACAGCATCAAAAAACTACCTTAGGAGTGATAACGATATTAAAGGGAGGCGAAAGACTGGATCCTTCGTCGAAGTGAGCCATCCACAGTTTCGTTCTGTGAAACTTCCACTCCAGATCAGCGTGATCCTTAAAAAATACTGGAATGGTTTTAACTAAGAGTGCATTGTACCTCTGTCAACTCCAGTTTACTCCAAAATCTCTTACGAAAAAAACTGACGTTGATAGTTTGAAAGGAGTGGCTCATCATGGCGATCAGCATGTTGAGCAGGACAATGATCGATGTGCAATGGTACATGATGAACATTGCTCGACCAACTGATTGTGTTAGATGATGGTTCTGAAGGAAGAATTTACAAAATTCAGTGGCGTTATAATTACTGTCCCTACCTCAGCCACATCGGTGTCTTCAACCTTGGTGATTGAGAAAAGCGACCAAAGCAAAGTCAAGTAGGAATCGGCAATTCTGAAAAGGTGGATATTGGCGCACTTCCATATAAACGTATTCAAACATAGTCTGCCAGGCCAATCTTTCAAATGAGGCGTCCCAAGAAGCATATTGGAGCACATTTGAAGTCGCGTTTTTGATTTTAAGTCAATAACATAAATGCGCATGGCTTCTTGTACTGTGTTGTCGGACAAGTTCGTGCAGTTCTCCAAGACTCAAAAAAAACGTAAGCAAGCTGCAGGCCACATGTTTTATACTACTTTAAAGCAGCTATGTCATTTAAGAAAATAATGTGTAATTAGCTTATCCAACGATATCCATGTTGTTGAATCAGACGTGGTTTTGACTGTATTTTCAAAAGTCCAAAAGAATCCTGATCAGCTTACCTTTTCTGGATTTTGAGATCTCAAATTCGCTATAACACTACCTAGTAGTGTATAACACTACCTGTACATAGTATAACACTACCTACAATTTGTCATGCTGACTGAATCACACCCATTCCTCAAATTGCGGCTTTACAGTAGGGTTGCGGTGGATATAATTTATAGAGTCAAAATAACTGATCCGAAAATGTTCTTCCTCGCGTGTAATTGAAATCGCTATTACAAATTGTGATCATTTGTTATTATAACTATGTTGTATGGGAGACATAGGCACTATGCTATTCAATTTTTTTCTTGGGCAGAACGATGATTTTGACCTCTCCATCGTCTACTACCCTGGTTCTTCAAAAAGGCATACGATTATAATTTTTGCAATCAAAATGCAACAAACCCCCATATGTTATTTTAGATCTGAGTTTGACCAATGTAGGGCAGAGGATGGATACATAGAGCCATGGCTCTAGTCATCTCCACTAAAGAACAAAGACAGGGTAAGGCACTCACTCCGCCGAATCTGACTTTCCTGCACACTAGAAGTTTGAGGATTGAGAAATATAGGAGATGGCTAACTGTTGTTTCATTGATAACGAAATAAGATCAAGATCAGAGTATATAAAAACTGCGAATATTAGGGAGAATGGACAAGGTATGTATCATGAGAAATGAAAATGTGTAGCTTCCCCTAAGATAGAAAATGAATTTGAAAAAGGCCAAAGTGTGAAGAGAATGTGCTTCGTTCAATAACTATTCCTTTCCAAACGGTTTTGTGTCTTAGAACTTCGAAAGGAATGCTACAATTAGACTATAGAGCATATACGTCAAGAGCTTTGAGCAGTAAAAATCGAAAGGAATACAGTATAACTTGTTACGATCAAACTTAAGTAAGTTGGGCGTCGTCAGCTAGATTCTCCGATTCCAATCAGAATGATGGATATTGGGAGGTTCTTTGAGTATGAGCCGAGATAACCCACCAGAGCCAAATGCCCCATCGGCTCTGTTCGTTCTCTACCGCCTCTCAATTTGCACACTCTCTACGCAACCAGGTATCTTCCACAGGGCATTTGACTTTAGCGCCCTTTTCTTCGTTATTTGCAAATTAATGTAAGTAAATCGTATATCGCTAAAAGGTCTTGAAACGTACATTTGAACAGAAACTGCGCAGCATTCATTTTTTCGGTCTAAGTGAATGACTTTAAAAAATCTGTTTTTTGTTTTCTT